GAAAATCTTCTATCCACTGGGCTAAGGCCGACCCCAACCTCGTTTGGGGTTGGCCACACCCCCAACCGATTGAAAAGGTTCTGGTGGGAAGCTGTCTTTGCACGGGCATGCCCAGTGTTTAGGAGAGGAGTAGGGGAACAAAGATCTCCTTGCTTTTTCGGGTAATAGATGTAAAATACTGACGGTGGGATCACGAGTAGTGCACGGCAGGATTTGGGTCACTCAACTGCCCCACAAACTCATTTCTATCCTATCCCGTTGCTAGTGGGACCTCGCCCTAGGAGGCTGTGCTCACAGTAGTCCTCCACGGAATGAATCTTGCTGCAAAAAAGGGTCAGATTCTCGATGTTGTTGGTTTCTTTTTCTTTCTTTCTTTCTTTCTTTTCTTATTCTTTTACGAGTCCCCTGCCAGCAAGAATGGGAAGAAAAAAAAAAGAAAGACAGGGCTTAATCCGTGATCTCCTCCAGCTGTGTTCCTTTTGAGGATTGTAACTGTGATCACACTGGCACTTAGAGGATATGTATACAGCCAATATCACGGCCAAATACATAATTCCTTTTTTTTTTTTTTTCCTTGTTCCTCTTTGTCTTTCTTGAGTCTGACAGCCACCGGACCACGAGGCTGCGAAATTGGCCGCAATTGAGGGTGTTGCCACACCACTCTCGAAATGTGCAAAATGAGAATGAACTTCCCGCTAGAACACGGCCAGATGCGCCCAGCAATGTTTTGTCTTTTTTTCATTTGGAGAGTGTTGTGGCGAGGCCCTGAATCTGAGATGCCCTCACTGAGGGCACACACACACTATCACTCCCAAGAATGTATACAACTGCATTCAGGGCTAAAGATTTGTTTTCTTTTTCTTTTTTCCTTTCGTTTGTGAGTTTTTTTTTTTTTTTTTTTTTTTTTTTTCTTGGGAAAAAGAGAGGTTTCCTTTATTACGGAAAAACAGCAAAACAAGAGGCCGGGAATCCTCACAAACAACCCGGATATGACATAGTGTCCTCTGGGCCAGACTGCCCAGACTGATGTGGGTCCAATGCCCAGATAGTGCTGTTAGTGTAAACAAGACGCCACGAGCCCTCTGCTCGATCTAGAAACTTATAGCACAGCTCAATGTGGGTCCAACACCCCAACATGGAACGTGTTAGTCTGAAAAGGTTCCAAACGAGCCCTCTGCTCGATCTGAGTACATCTGTAACTACCCTACTTCTACTAACAACAAAACTCTGGTCTATCCGACCAAAGGGAGCGGAATGGCACCGACACCGCTTGACACTCTCTTACCATCCTTACCAAAAGAAAACAGTCTTCCTGCCCCTGCCAGTCTACTGCGACTAGAGAACCGAGTGCACCTGATAATTATCGCACAGATACAAGCCATGGACAAATCTTCAACTTGCTTCCTGCGTCCACTGTTGCCAGTTGATGATCCCTTCCCCATGTTTTCTCAAACCATCTGATCCCCTGCTGACCCCCTTTGACACCCTTTCTCAACCAATCCGCACGAATCCGTTGCCGGAGGTGGGTACGAATCGGCCACTTGGTTTCGATGTCTGACATGCCTCTGTTATCAAAAATGGACCTATTCCTATGTGTCCAGATCACTCGCATGATCACCGCCCGGCAAACTTGCGCGACATATCCCCAGCCTGAGGAAGCCGGCCTTGCCGCAGGCAGAAAACCCAGTAATACCCATTCCTTGTCCCACTGAAATACCCATCCTGCAAAATTGTTCCAGTGCCAGTTCCACCAGTTCCAAATTCTTTTGGAGGCTGGACAGTCCCCCCGCAGATGTGGTGTAGACTCAAAAGGCCAGGTGCATCTGGCACAGGCTAACTGTAGTTCCAATCCTCTGCTGGCCAACCACACAGCTGAAGGGGTAACCATCAACCATAAGATAGCAGCGTCCTTCTGGGAGACCAAGAGCTGTAGCTGTTCCCAAAGTTGTGTCATTGCTGTTACAAACTCACTCTGTTCTCCCACTATCAGGTATCTGGACCAGCGAGGCCAGGCAACTTGTGATGGGGTACGTCGTGGGGCCTGAAAGCCATAACCGAAATTAGGATCATACTGTTACAGGAACAGCACATCGCCACTTTGGCCACAGCCTCTCCACTCCCACCCTGTTGGATCAGCCTCAGCACATCGCCAATTGAAGATCCCTGTTGCCAAGGTGACGCATGTTTTCAAGAACCCTGATCTGTAGCATTGTACTTTGAGGTTGAGATTGAATAGCTTCCTCTTGGTCACTTTGCACCCTGGGCTTCTACAGACTGACTGTGGGGGTAGGAGAGTAAGGCACATACCATGTGCCTGGTGGGTCTCTAGCATGTGGACCCAGCAAGTAGCTCCAACCTTCTGGTATGGCGCTGATAATCCCGACAGCCCTCTCTTCTACATACCATAGCGCTCCCAACTCTTGTCCGATCCGTGTCCCAGGCTTCCAACAGCCCTGTATGTCATCCCATAGGTCCCTGATTTTGAGTACCCCTCGCTGAATCCGGGCCTCGCCGAAATTGCCAGCAGCCTTGTTCCCTCTGAATCGAGTACCGTCCGTCCTGCAGATGAATGGGTTATCAAAAAGGGACTGAGCCAGGACTTCTTGTTTGGTGTGTGGTTCAATCCATGTGTCCGGCCGCACCTTTTTCCATGCTTGGTTGGATAACCCCCTTCCAGAAGGGGGAAAGGATTGCCTTATTTACATATGAATCCAGTTGAAGGCAGAACCACACGTCCTCCGGCCTACTCAACTTCCATTCACCGGCCAAGAGCAGCTCCGCCATGATAATCCAGCGGTCTTTATATTCTCTGGAAATAGCTCGGACTACCCGCTTAGCTAATAAAGCATAATTTCTGCGCATGGGGTCACAAAGGTCCAATCCCCCCTCATGCTTAGGAGTGGATACTATATGCTTAGGAGTGGATACTATCTCCCATGCAACTTTGGAGATATATCCCTCATCCTCTTTTGCTGTTGGCTTCCATAAGAAACGAGCAGCTAAAGACCGGACCAGTGTGCAGAAGGAGTTAGAGAGCAGACGGATAGAATCCACAAACCATAATTATAATGTAAACAGCGAGAAGTTCAGGGCCAATGCTCTGCCATAAAGTGAGAGATGGGGTGCAGAGTTCCAGGACTCCAGTCTCTTGGTAACTCTAGTAATTAAGATATCTTCCTGGGATTCCGCACAAGATTTGGAGTGAAACCAAAACGCCTAAGAATCTTTCTGACTCGTTGTATTGAATCCGTTTCATCCCCCAGTCCACTGCAAGAGTGTGATCAGCAGGTAAGAAATAGACGGATTTCCGCCAATTCACCACCGCCTCGGACAGGAGACAGTACTCATCTAACACCCATTTAAGGGTGTCCAGCGAGGAAGGGAGATTAGCACACAGGGCAAAGAGATCATCGGCTAAGGCTTTGACTCTACACTCGGAAGAGCCCAGGGCCAAGCCTTGGATTTCCGGTCTGGTACGGATGTTGCAGAGTAGAACCTCCAGTTGGATCACGAACAGCAACGGGGCCAGCCGACAGCCCTGGCGGAGGAAGCGTGTAAGTGTGAAGGGGGCAGAGATCTCACCATTTACAGTCACTGAGGCTGTTGAATGTGTGTACATTGCTATTACCCACTTGATGAAGCTAGGACCGAAACCAATGTGGTAAAGAGTGGTAAGACTTAGTACAAAAGCCCGATTGACCCGATCGTAGTAAGCTTTTTCCAGATCGAGTAGGAGAACTGCTACCGGGCGGTTTTCCGTCTGCACTAACTCAAGAGCTTCCACAGCAGTTACAATATTGTCAAAAATGGACTGGCCTTGTACAAACGCGCGGTGGTCCTTTCCTACTATCGCTGGAAGGTACCTGCCTAACCTCCTGGCCAGTGTTTTAGCAAGAATTTTATACGCCACATTTAGCAGGGCGATCGGTCTCCAGTTCTGAATCTCGGACTTGTCGCCTTTCTTGTATAATAAGGATTTAACCCCGTAGCTCATCTCCTTAGTCGAAGCTTCACTGTCCAGGGCTTCCTTGAAGATAGCCACTAACGGCTCTTTCAACAGATCCCAGAACCGAATATAATATTTCAATGTAAGTCCATCCGGACCAGGCGCTTTGCCCTTGGCCATGTGCTGTAGAGTACGGGTTGCTTCGACAGTTGTAATAGGTCGATCTAATAAGTTCAGCCGGCCAGACGCCGACAGTCTAACATCCACACAGCCCCACAGATCCGTAAGATGTTTCTGCCTTGTTGCTAATTCTATCTGATCTCTACGCGAAGTCATGATGTCCTGGAATTACAACTCGGCATATGTGCACATCTGTTGAGAAGTTCTTGCTACCGACAGATGATCATCAAAGGGGTGTTTGAGCACCTTCATGACTTGCTTTGTCGTGCCTGGAAGGAGCCGTTTGAACGTTTCTTTTGTAAACCTGTCCCCGACTTCGATTCCTTTTGTTCTCAGCGCTTCCTTCCACTCTTCTTCTTTTGCCATCTGAAGTTTCTCCCACTGCAGCGCTCGAAAAGCTCTCTCCTTTCCCCATCTCCTCAAGATCAGCTGGTTTCCGTTTGCCCGTTCCAACTTCTGCTCGGCTTCCTCCACCCGTCGTCGACAATCAGCCTCTTCCCCCTGTTCTTATAGTATGCCAAGGACTCAGAAAACATATTCAACATCCCAGATGCTAAGCGATTGCCTGCGTCCCACCAGTCAGCTCGGTCCTTAAAAAAGCGTTTAGCTCTCTGCCAGTCCGTGTAGTGGGATTTAACCCACATGACGATGCCTGGATCCCTAAGATGAGCGTTGTTGAGGCGGAAAAAAACTTTTCCTCTTTCAGGGCCAGATCCCACCGAAAAGGAGAGGTAGACCGGTTTGTGGCCCGACAGATGACATATGAAAGAAACTCCTCGTAAGAGATGTACTTTGACTTCATACAGGTGCTGCATGGCTGTCGTCAGCTCGTGTCGTGAGATGTTGGGTTAAGTCCTATAACGAGCGCAACCCTCGTTTTGTGTTGCTAAGACATCGCAACGATGTGCTGCAAGACATCTTACCTCCATTGTGTCCTGCCAGAGGCATTCTGAAATCAGAAAATCATCTAGCCGACGGCATGCAACAGCTCTTCCACCTTGGCGCTGCGACGAACACCAGGTATATCCCGCGGCTCATTTGGATGCAACAGCTCTTCCACCTTGGCGCTGCGACGAACACCAGGTATATCCCGCGGCTCATTTGGATGCAACAAGCGAAAGGGGTCCACCAAGTCAAAGTCCAAGGCCAGTTTTAACAGCGCATCAACTTCCTTACCAAACTCCCTATTTGAAAGGGCAGGATTTTCATCGTCCAGCGCAATATTCCAGTCACCGACTAGAATAATCTTGTCTTCAACAGGGATAACATCTGACAGTAATTCTAAAAAAGCATGTCGTTCTTCCTTTTCTGCAGGGTGGTAGACAGTCATTACTGCCCAGGTAAAGTTGGAGGAGCGAAATTTAATCCACACCCACCGTCCCCACATATCCGTATCCGAATCCACAATCTCTGCATCCAGATCCCTATGGATCAAAATGCACGTTCCTCCTCGTGTATCAACAGCCGGAGACCACAATTGCGGCCCGTCCCACCATGCCCCAAGACTTGCTATCTTACTTTCACTCAGTTTTGTTTCCTTCATACAGAGAACTTGTACGTGGTTGGTATGAATCCAGGTTTTGATGTGAGCTTTTTTTATTTCTCCCTGAAGTATCCCCCAAACCGCGCACATTCCATGTCGCGACCCTAATCTTATCCATGGTTCCTCCCGCTCTTTGACGGTGACTGGATTCGAGAAGACGATCCTGCTTGCACAGGCTTACCCTTCAAGCCCCCTGTCCAGTGTTGAGATAGGAACTGCCTAATCGGTGCTGAAAACAAATCCCTGGCCCTGTGGAGTTTGCCATTCAACTTCCCCAAGAAAGAGGCATTTTTTTAATACCAGTAATAACCGAAATTCGAGCAAGGCCCTGCGATCCCTCATTAACAAACCATTCGGCTGGAATAAGACAAAGACCCTGGGCCACGAGATGAACTGAATCCACCTGATTGATACGTGCGTCCAACGGGGGGTGAAAAATTTGGCCTTAGCCGTCGAGGTTTCGACAAAGAATTTGGGGGTAGGAGTGTCCGGGATACAACGAATGGCAATATCTGAGCCGTACAGCGAGCGAGTTATGTTAAGGGGGGTGGGAGGGGAAGTGATTACCTGAGAGGGGAGCCATGTGTTGTCAGTCATATCTTGCCAGGCAACGACGAACAGACCTTCCTGAGACAAGAGACAAAGGATGGGGAGCAGCCTCTTTGGCCAGTCCTCTGTGGATGGTTTGACGGGCGGAACCTGCCTGCGACTGCGAGTGGTCTTACACCCTACAGCTTCCAATCCAGGAACCCCTCCTCCTGAGAGTTGATCAGAATCTTCGTGTTCTACAGGTCTCGATATTGACGGTCTTGAAAGGTCTTCGGTGAGTCGACTCATCTTCGTTGGCGTTCTGCTTCCCTGCCGCCCAGATTCCGGTGTCAACTTATTGGGCGGAGGCGTATGCTGACTCATGTCCCCTTGGCCACTTGCAGTACCGTTGTCAGCACCATTCGCCTGCGGGTGATTACCGAAGGAAACTCCTGGCTTACGACCGAGGCCTGCCAGAACTGCTGCTGCATCAACGGAGATCAAGCCGGATTGACTATTCCCCGGCGTGTATTCCGCAGGAAGACCAAAAAGAGGGTTAACCCTTGACTGATCATCCGGATGCTCTCCTCCCCCGACTACGCCCCCCGGGGAGGGGAGCGGACCCCGGTGGGTGGGGAGCGGAGGTCTTGAATTATTTGTCGACCTCCCTCCTTCAGCACCAGTTCCCCTGCCCTGCCTATGTTCGCCACCTTGATTGCTGCCGTCTCTGTTACTGGTACCTCTCCACGAGCCCCCTTCCGCCGACGACCTGCCCCCACCTCGACCATTATCCCTACCACTTTGATTACCCCTTGATCCCCGTCTGTCCTCGTCGTCCTCCTTGCCATTCGCTCTAGCATCCCCAAAACCATCACTATTGCCGACAAAACCTCCCGCCACTGAAGATGAAAACTCCTCGCTTGCTAGCGGAGTTGAAGTTGCTGAGGAAGCTGATCCGTTCCCTTGTGAGCGCCTATTCCCAGTATCTGGGGAGTGGCCCCTATACTGCCTAGCCCGAGAGCGATTGCGTGGACAAGTGGCCGGAAGATGAAAGAATCTCCGGCAAACGTCGCACCAAGGCGTCTGTGCAGTCGCCACCAGCACCTCGAGCTCCTGCTGTTGAAAGGTCACGAAGGATGATGTGTCCTTGACACGCTCGCGAGCTTCGGCCACAATATCCATCCGAACATTGATCAATTGTGGCTTCCGCGGGTCTCGTTCCGGAGGGTAGGTTCGATGCACGTAGCCAATGGACTTCGTAGCTGCAGCGTGTGTAAATAACAATAAGCGTCAATTGGCACGTCAATGCAGCGAATCCAAAAATACTTCTGCTGCTCCAACCTGAGCTCTTCTTCTAGATCCTTCTTGGTTAGCCATGGCTTGAAGCTGATAGTATGCGACTTGCGCCTTAAAAGGACCTTATCCGATTGCTTCTCCCTCGTCCACTCCGCGATCACTTGGTCCTTAGCAACGTAAGTAAGCACGTTGGCCGATTCAATCTTCACTCTCCCACACGCAATTGAGGAGTCAAACAGGCGATGCTTGATCCAAGTATCTTCATATGCCCGGATTACCTCCTCCTTGATACGCTTCTGCAAATTTTTGGACCCGTCTTGGAAAATCACGGTAACCGCTCGCTCCTTGAGCCATCGTACCTTGATTTCATCAATGGAGGGATTCAGAAAGAAGGTCGCCTTGCGCCCTTCCTCCCTAATCTCTCCTATATCAACTTCAGTCGGCATGACACCCATGTCAAAGCACATCTCCATCATTTGGCGGATCCTAGGTTCATCGCCTGAATAATCTGTGAAAGCCGGCGGGGGGTATCTTCCCCCCAGATCGGTCTTGCTCCGTGGTGTTTCCGTCCCGTCCTGCCTTAGCATCCTCCGTGACTTCTTCTCTGGCTCCGTCTTCTGGTGGTGGGGGCTTAGCCCCGTCCTCTCGTGCCTCATGACTGGCTGCCTGGTGCCCATCCTCCACGTGGCAAGCAGGTAATATGTGCTTGCAACAGCACAAAGTTCTAAGTGCGAGCTAACTTGGTGTCCAAGGTGACCAAGTAGTCGGTCACGCATCTTGACTGAGTTATGATTATGGCCCCGTATGGCTGGCTACAAGGCTATCCCCTCCTTACTTTCCCCACTGCCATAGCCGTGTTGCTTCTCAAAGGGAAAGCAGAAAAGTTAGGTTAACGAAGCCGTCACTGTGATAGCTGGGCCTCGCGGGATAGGCCGGCTGAAAGACAACACCGGCGGTAGCGGAACCGAGCGCCAAACTAGCGCCGCGAACCGGCACCCCCCGATCGAAGTCGTGTTTCTCTTTTGTGAGTTTTGTGGCCGCGACTTTTCTTCTTCTTCTTTTTTGTTTTTTTTTTTGTTTTTTGGTTCATTCTGTGAGAGTACGAGAAAAGGGAAATGGGGTGGGACCAAGGCTCGGCAAAACTCGGAGCGCAGTGAAATTCAGGCTCTGCAAAAACAGGCTCGGAGGTACTAGTGGTTTAATCCAAAAGCAAAAACAAAAAAAGTTAAAAAAACAACAAAACAGACAAGGGCATCTTAGGTATCTTTGATAGGATGGGCAGCATGAGCCAGATGAGTTTCAAATCACATGCGCAGCAATCAATATCTCCCGGAAGCTCGCGGGGAAGTGTTGTCTTGCTGACTTCTCGCTTTATTGGGGGGACTTTCGATTGCCCTGTGTGCTGGCATTGTTTTCTCAGACAGACACACGGAGAGAGAGAGAGAGAGAGAGAGAGAGAGAGAGAGAGAGAGAGAGAGAGAGAGAGAGAGAGAGAGAGAGAGAGAGAGAGAG